CCACCTCGACACCAGGATCACTGCTGTCCTCATAGAATGTCTGTCAGTCCTGGATGAGATCTAACTTTCTCCAGTTGACCAACGCCGTCCTGCATTGCTCCTGTCAGTGCCCCCATAACTCATGCACTGACAGCATCACCCTTCATGGCTGCACTCTACACATCATGGAGCCAATGTGGAAGCTCAGTGTCCTGTTCGTCTCTTAACAGACCTTCATCCCCCGGCTCCACATGACTCAAATGATACAGTTCAAGCTCCTGATCTTCATTTCACCTCCTCCGCTTTGCTCCTCCATACCTCTGTGACCTCCTAAACTCCTACCAACCTGTCGCTCCCTCCACTCAGCATCCTCCGGCCTGCTTCATGTTCCCTGCTTTGCCCACCCCAACATTGGTGGCGAGCCTTCAGCCTCTCTGGCCCCACCCTCTGGAACTCCATCCCACCTCACCCCTTCTCATGCCTCCTTCAAGATCTGTCTCAATTTTTTTTGATAAAACTGAAGCCATCACCTTTGGCTCCTGCCAACACATCCTCTCTTCTGGCTCTGACCTCCTCAGCCTCCCCGGCCTCTCTCTCTAATTCTCTCAGTGACAACCATGGCATGTGGTTTGATCCCCAGCTTTCCTTTCTCCCTCACATGCATTGCCTCATCAAAACTGCCTTCATTCACACCCATCACATCAACGGCCGCTGCCCCTACCTCACACCCAACACCTCGGAAACCCTCATTCTCGTCTTTGTCACCTGCCGCTCAGACGTTGCCAGTGCTCTCCTCACTATGTTATGGATTATATAAAAGACGAAAGTAAAGATTATATTTTGGGGGAATCTCAAAATCATTTATTACCTTTAACTTTTTTCAATCGTTTTCTGCAGAAGAACATCAACACACCAGCTGCTCCAAGCACAAGAGTGAACGCCACAAGGAAAACCACCAGCCAGTCTGGGCCTCGGTGCAAAAACACCTCTGTAACATAAGGAACATTTTGTATCATATTTAATAATAATCCTTTCATTCTTTCATTTGATATAGAACCTTATTACATTTTCATGAAGTCTCAAAGCGTTTCACAGGCATTACAGTGATATGTAGTGACTGTTTATTTGTATGCTAACATGGCAGCCAATTTTCTGCACACAATGTCCACCAACAGTTATGTAGTGAATGACGAATTTATCTGCAGGATTGTAGGCCAGGGTACCTGGAGAAACTTCTTTCCCTTCATGAAAAGTGTCAGAGGATCTTTAAAATCCGCCTGAACAGGAGCAGAAAAGTCCTCGGTTCAACGTCTCATCTGAAGGACAGCGTCTCCGACAATCGAGCTCAGGTGTCTCGCTTGCGAGGTGAGTGCTCTAACCACTGAGCTACAGGACTGCTGTATTTCAGTAATACATGAAATGCTGTCACTGTCCAGTGCTTTGGGACATCCTCCCCACGTGAAAGGCGCTATACACATGTATCTTGTTGTTGTTGTCGGGGAGCGGCGGCAGGACAGCGTGGGGAGGAGCCTGGGCCTACTGACCCAGGTACTTAAACTCGACGCCGGAGCGAGTTCAGCCCCGGGGGGGGAGGGAGGTGTGGGGGCGGAGCGGGGGAACTGCGACGTCATAGATTAGTTTTCAGGTACGTGCGCGCGCACAAAAAAAAAAAAAAACTCTGCGCCCCCCCCCCCCAGGGCTCACATCAGAGCCCACTATGGTCCTGTTGGGTTCGCTGCCCCAGCCTACGGGATAATGCCATCCACCTGACCGCTCGCTCCCAGTCCCCGCGTGCGCACTATGGCTGCCGCTTTGACCCGAGCCCCCCCACCCCCTCCCTCCCGCCCCCCTCCTCTCTCCCCCCAAACCCTCCCCCCTCTGCATCTCTCCCGCTCTCTCCTCCTCTCTCTCCGTCCCTCTCGTCTTCTATCCCCACTTGACCCTCCCACAACCTCCCTCTGCTCCAGTCTGGGAATCCTCCGCCGGGCTCACCGCGGCACTCGGCGTTGGCTGTCCAGCAGCAGCCACACCGACTGCCCCATTCCCCATCACACTCGCCACCCACCCCGGGCACAGACCCGGGGAGCCAACCTCTCCTCCCTCATCCCCATTCCCCCCACCCCTGCCTCACAACCTGGACCCCCTTCCCCTCCCACACACCCTTCTGTCAACCGCTCCCTCCACATCGGACTGCAAAATGTCCGCTCCCTCTGCAACAAGGCCCTGGTCATCAACGATCTCATCCTTGATGAGAACGTTGACATCATGGCCTTAACAGAAACCTGGCTCACCCCAGGCGACACCTTCCCCCTCACGGAGGCCACACCACCCGGCTACACCTCCCACCACATCCCCTCCCAACCGCCGTGGCGGTGGTGTTGCCCTTATCTCAAGGACACCACTTGCCCTATCCCCCCTACTCCACTGGCTCTTTCCCCTCCTTTGAGCACCTCACCCTCTCCCACCCCTCATTCCTCTCCCTTAAAATCCTCCTCCTCTACCGGCCCCCTAAAACCTCTCCCACCTTCATCTCTGACATTTTCAACACTCCTCACATCTCTTTGCCTCTGCTCCGATCGCCTCATCATCCTGGGCGACTTTAACCTACACTTCACCCCCTCCTGCTCCATCTCCACAGACTTCTCTTCCCTGCTCTCCTCACTCAACCTCTCCTTACACATAAACTCCCTCACTCACAGTCACGGCCACCCACTCGATTTGGTGATCACCCGGGGCCTCAGTGTCTCGGATGTCACTATTACCGACAAGGCCATCTCTGACCACCACTTCATCTCCTTCACCACCTCCACCCCCCTCCCCACCTCCACCAGACCCACCACCATCTTCTACCGCCCTTGGAAGAAGTTACCCCCACAATCCCTAACCGATGCCTTGGAGTCCTCTGAACTCCTCTCCCTCCGGCCTTCAACCCTCACCGACCCCTCTTCTCCTCTCTCCCTCCTCCACAATACCCTCTCCTCCACACTCGATACTCTTGCCCCCATCACTTCCCGCACTGTCTCCTACTCCCGCTCCTCCCCCTGGTACACCACCCACCTCCGCTCACTGAAAAGCCAGGTGCGGGCTGCTGAGCGCACCTGTGTCAAATCTGGCCTAACGGTCCACCGACAAATCTGGCTGGACCTCCTCAAAATTTACCGCTCCACTCTAGCCTCGGCCAAGTCGTCCTTCTACTCCAGGATAATCCTGGAGGCGAAGAACAACCCCAGGCTACTGTTTTCCACCACAACCCGACTCCTCCGTACCCCCCGCGCAGGTCATCTCCTCCAACCTTCACTGCGAGGAGATGCTGGATTTCCTTGAATCCAAGATCAAGGGAATCCGCTCCGCGGTCACTTCCCCTCCAACTTCTACCCACCACCCACCCCTTCCCTCCCACACTCCGACTCCTACCCATCCTCCCCTACACAACTTCGTACCCGTTTCCACACCCTCTGTCACTGAACTCATCCTATCCCTAAAACCAACCACCTGCTCCCTTGACCCCATCCCCACTCCACTCCTTATCTCCCCAGCTCCACTTTCTTGCCCCACATATCACTGACATCATCAACCTGTCCCTCTCCTCTGGCACTGTCCCCATTCCATTAAAAACTGCCATCATCACGCCCACCCTGAAAAAACCCTCCCTTGATGCGTCGCAGCTATCAAGCTACCGGCCCATCTCCAACCTCCCCTTTCTCTCCAAGGTCTTGGAAAGAGTTGTCGCCTCCCAACTGCGCTCTTTCCTTTCCACCCATTCTCTTTTCGAACCCCTTCAGTCAGGTTTCCGTGCTGCCCACAGCACAGAAACTGCCCTGGTCAAGGTCACCAATGATATCCTGACCATCTGTGACCAGGGCTCCCTCTGTCTCCTCGTCCTCCTCGACCTATCGGCAGCATTCGATACGGTCGACCACGCTATCCTACTCCACCGCTTGTCCTCCCACCTCAACCTTCAAGGCACTGTCCTTGAATGGTTTAGGTCGTACCTTTCTCACCGTCTTCACTTTGTCTCGACGAATGGCTTCTCCTCCACCCCCCGTACCTGTCTCATGTCGGTGTCCCTCAGGGCTCTGTCCTTGGTCCCCTCCTCTTCACCCTCTATATGCTCCCCCTCGGTGACATCATCCGCAGACATGGAGTTAACTTCCACATGTATGCGGATGACACCCAACTCTACCTTTCCTCCTCTACTCTCAACTCCACGACCACCGATGTCCTGACAGCTGCCTGTCCGACATCGAGTCCTGGACGAGAGACAACTTTCTTCAGCTCAACGTGCGAAAAACCGAGGCCCTCCTGATTGGCTCACGTCAGCGCCTCCGCACCTCAGGCGCCGACACCATCAGCATCCAAGGCTGCACTCTCCACCTCTCAAAGCCAGTCAGGAACCTCGGCGTTTTGTTCGACCCTGAGCTGTCCTTTCTCCCTCACATCCGCACCACAACTGGCACCGCCTTCCATCACCTCCGGAACATCGCCAGACTACGGCACTACCTCACCCCTCACGCTGCTGAAACCCTGGTTCACGCCTTTGTCACCTCAAGGCTGGACTATGGGAACTCTCTCCTCGCGGCCTTCCCGCCACCTCCCTCCACAAGCTGCAGGTCATTCAGAACTCTGCAGCTCGTGTACTGTCCCGCACCAGGCTTCGCGATCACATCACTCCCACCCTCGCTCGCCTCCACTGGCTCCCCATCCCCCAGAGGATTGATTTCAAGATCCTCAACCTCACCTACAAGGCCATTCACGGCCTTGCTCCCTCCTACCTCTCCAACCTACTATCCCCCTACCTACCTGCCCGTACCCTCCGTTCCTCTGGCTCCGGTCTGCTCCACGTCCCCCGCCCCAACCACCCTACCATCGGTGGTCGGGCCTTCAGCCTCTCAGCCCCGAGGCTCTGGAACTCCATCCCCCAGTGCCTTCGCCGCTTCCTCCCTTTCCTCCTTCAAGGCCGGTCTCAAAACCTTTCTCTTTGACCGTGCCTTCAGCTCCCCTCTCGACTTCTCCTTCCCCCCCTCCCTCGCTTCCCCTCCCCTCCCTTCCCTCCCCTCACCCTGACCATTTCCCCCTCCTCGCCTCCCTTCCTCCCTCACCTGACCATTTCCCCCTCCTCGCTCCTCCCTTCTCTCCCCTCACCCTGACCATTTCCCCCCTGCTCGGGTCATAACCCAACTGTGCAGCGCCTTGGGACGTCCTCCTGACGTGAAAGGCACTTTATAAATGGAATCTTGTTGTTGTTGTTGTGTAATTAATTATTTGCAATCACAATAGCAAACTATCCTATGATGAAAGTGGCTGAAAGAAAATCAGAATGAAAGCCTCAGATTGAACATTGGGAGCTGCTGTGGATTGTTCCACATCACAATATCAACTGTAATACGTTGCATTGAAGTGCTTATATTTTTGCAAATGTTTCACTGACCTGATACCTGGATCTTTGCCTCGTTTTCCTCCAGAAAGTTTCTTGTCAGACACGTGAATCTGTCTGTAGAATCGCTGGTTATATCAATGCTACTTTCACATTTCCAACAGTCTTCAGACCCCTGAGTGCATGTTTCAGTCTTGGCTTTCACCTCTGCTCCACTCCTATCAAACCAAACTACACGAGGTTCGGGATACCAGCCTTTTGATTTACAGGTGAGTTTAAGCCTCGAGTCCTGGTAACCTGCCATGGAAATCAAGGGCAGCCGTCTGCGGTCTGTAACAATAATACATTGTGTTATCAACAATTACAAAGAAGGAACTTTTGTAACGACTGATCAAATCAAAACATTCAGTACTTTACACCTAATTAGTCATTTGTAGTGACTGCTTTTGAAGGCTAAGGTTACAGTCATTTGCACCATCAAGTGAATGGCCAATTAATCTGCAATACACTACATTCTCCATCAGTTTATGGGATCTTTAATGTCCACCTGAACAGACAGGTGCAACCTGTCAATTTTCACGTCTCACCAAACGTCAGCCTCTAACACTGAGTGTCCTTCAGTGACAGAGTGTGGTATCAGCCTGAACTATGAGCTCAGGTGCTGATGTGGGGCTTCAACCCACAACACTCTAAACCAAACAACAAGAGTCCTTCCAATGAAATTGATATAGAGTCTTATCACGTCTTTGAGACGACTCAAAGCCCTTCACAGAATATACTGTACAGTGAATTGACTGTGTATTTTGTGGGTGAAACGCGGCAGCCAATTGCCCACATTGAGCCAGAATGACAAATCATTACATTGTGCAGTTCACACCGGGCTCTGGTAGAGATTATGGTGCATTTCTGAAGCTGGAAAATATATTGACTGGGACGGGGTGGGAACATGAGCTTAGAATAGGGAAATGTACAGGTTAAACACAACAAACCTTCAACTTTCACAACCACTGTTGTTTCACCTAAATCTGTTGTGGATCTCACAGAACATGTGTATTCTCCTTGGTCTGAGCACCTCACGTTCTTCAGTCTGAGAGACACGTTTCCTCGAGTCATCCCGTCTCTAATGAGCTCGGTTCTTCCTCTGTAGGCTTCATGTTGCTGATCAGGTCGAACCACTCCACGTGTGTATAAATGCACCACATCCCCAGAATCAGATTTACTCCATTCCACGTCCATATGATATGCCGCCACTCCTGGTGTTAACCAACATCCCAGAGTGACATCGTTCCCCAGAGCTGTGAGGACAGGCTGACGTGGACCATTAACTATAAAAGAATCTAGTGAACAATACAATATCAATTATTCAACTATTATTATGATTTGTTTCTAATTAAGTGTAAAACTATGAGATCCAATAGTTTATTTGTGTCACTGTCACTGGACAGGTTTAGTGTCTGGTTTCCTGAAGCCCTGAAAGTCTGAGATATGAACTGACCTGAGTCTGCACAGAAACTGTCTTATTACAGAAATATACTTTATTTGGAAATGTGCAGCAATGTTACCATTTAAAAGATGAATATAAATCACCAGTTTATAGTCTCATCAGTGGACACATTTCACACGATCACAAGAGAGGTTCAGATGAAGGAAGTCCTTCAGCCCATTTGACCTCATCTTCCCAGAATACTCACCTCCCATCTTCCCATCTCAGCTTCACCTGATACATTTACTCTCGGAGTTCAGTGCTGTGAACACGGACAGCTCACAACCTTTGCAAATATAGTTTGAAATACGGCTCCAGTGTAAACAGCCAGAATGTCCTCTCGTTCAGCTCATTAACACAGTCAGGAATTGTCATTTCTCTCAGAAATGAGATACAGTTGTTCACCACTGAACAACGGGAGGTGATCAGGAGAAGCTGGGAATAGACCAGGTTTGGTGAGGATCTTTCAGCCACAGTTATGGGCTGATAGACTGAGGGAAGTTGATAAAAGCAATACATTTCTGGGGCAGGTTCAGCTGCAGTGATAACAAGCTCCAGCTTCCAGTTACAGTGAGTGGATTCTTTATCAGAAACAAAACTATTCTCTACTTGGATAAGTGATCTAATATTTTAGTTGCCTCTGTAATAAAGAGCAATGTTAATGTGAAAGTGATTAGGCAGAAAATGACAGTGTTGCTCACCAGAAAGTGAAGCCGGAATCTCAAACAGGAAAATTAGAATGAAAATCTTCTCCATCATCTGTCAGGACATCGAGCACTGAAACACGAGGAAATCAACAGACAATTCATAATAAATTAATAACACACAGTAACACCAGATCTGTGTCACAATCCAGATCAGCATTTGAATAAAGTGTTCTTCCAAACTTTTGGAATAAAGTAATTGCGCTGAAATAGGTGGAACAACAACAACAATTTGCATCTTTAACATCCACCTGACAGGCAGAGAGCATCACCTCCGACAATGTTGTGCTCCCGATCACCGCAGTGGAGTGTCATCCTACACTGTGAGCTCAAAGTCTTAATGAGGGGCTTGAAACCACAACCCTCTGACTCCGGCTCGGAGTCAGGCATCACCACTGTTAAATGCTCTGAGACGCTGCCCTGAGTGGAGGGCGATATATAAGTTGTTGTTGTTGTTTCGGCTAAACCAAGCCAGTGGGTTAACACTAAAAATAAAATGATTATTTTTAATCACAATAAACTTTTCACATCGGGGAACAATTTCTGACACTGATTTGCTTTTAACAGTAGAACCTTTTGCAGGTTCAGGCTCCAAACTCACACAGAGTCTCCGTCTGTTTGTCTGAGCTTCAACCCTCAGCGCTTGTCAAGGTGACCTCGGAGAATAATAATCCTGACATCTGACACAGCACCTTCTACATCCAGGGACGTCTCAAAGCGCTTCAGAGGAAACACTGTAAACACCAGTGACCTGACAGCAATCAGACTGGGGAAGGAACATGTTATGTGTAACTGCTGTAATGTGCCCCTCCACTCCCCCTCCTCACAGCCGCTCCTTATTCACCCCAACATGGTGCAGGTCAGAGAGGAGCTCCCATTCCCTTCCCTCCTCACTTGCCTCCGATTCTCAGCGTTTAAACCACAAACTGGGAATAAACTGACTGCAGAGCTCCCGCTTTACTACTGACACAAACCTGACAATAGAGAACATTTATTTCATATGTAAACTCCACATCACCACATGTGAAAGTGAAACCAGTGAATCCTGTAACTGGAATCGCAGTAAAGTTAAGGCGTTATTTTAATGGTATAATAATAGTTCATTTCAGGAAAAAAATTCCGACACTGACCTGTTTAGAGTTTGCATCGAATGAGAAGAATCTTCACTATTAACAGTACATTAAACCTGTGTCCGGGATGGCGATGTCCAGAGGCTAATCTTGTGACTGAGCTCAGTTATTAACCTCACACAGTGACTGAGCTCTGTTGCTAACCTCACACAGTGACTGAGCTGTTACTAACCTCACAGAGTGACTGAGCTCAGTTGCTAATCTCACAGTGACTGAGCTCAATTATTACCCTCACACAGTGACTGAGCTCAGTCACTAACCTCACACAGTGACTGAGCTCAGTCACTAACCTCACACAGTGACTGAGCTCAGTCACTAACCTCACACAGTGACTCAGCTCAGTCACTAACCTCACAGTGACTGAGCTCAGTCACTAACCTCACACAGTGACTGAGCTCAGTCACTAACCTCACACAGTGACAGGGGGTTCACTGGTTGTGTGTTTATTGCAGTGTAGGGTTTGTGTTCGATGTCTCGGGGTGTTCTGTTAGTGTAATTATATGTGTTTACGGTGCACATTGGGTTGACATCTGTAAATGGAAGTGCCCCTTATCAGGGTGTGTGCAGGTCACACATGTCTGTGGTGCACACGGGGCGTTTCCCGACTGTGCTTAATGGGAGCGTTCCCCCCAAGAAATGTGAGCACATCCCGCAACGGGCAGCAGATCCCCGGGGGGGGGGGGGGGAGCCTTGGTCCCTCCACCAAAGTGGAGTGCGCAATGGCAGCCCCTCACCCCCAACCCCCCACCACAAGGGGTCGGGGCTGTCACGTCCCTTAATGGTAAAATAACGTGTTGTGTTTCTTCATTCTCTTATGGCATTTGTTTCTTTTTGAGGAAAGTGTAAATATATATTCTATCAATAAAGAAATATATTTCTGGTTTAAAACAAGTCCGTGAGTTCAGCTGCTCTCAGCCTCACAGTCACTGAGACCAGTTTGGGATGTGACAGTACAGTTTATATTGACACAGCGCCTCATGTCGAGATGATGGCTCAAAGCGCTTCACAGAGCTGATGGGCACCTGAGGGGGGAATGGGAGCTGAGGGGGTGGGGAGGGGAGAGATGGGCAAAAGCAGAGCCGAAGGGTTTTGTTTCCTGACGGACAGAGGACCTCACACCACTCTTTTTAAAATATTTCTTGTTTGTTTAAAAATATACATTTACAAACTTTCTTGTACAACTTTCTTGTCCCGATTCACAACAGTTTCCTTTCTCTTTCAACTGCTCTTTCAGCTTCAGCGATACACTTAAATTATACTATTTATATTGGATTGAATTCTATCGAATTCTGTGGCGTAAACGTGACCGCATCGTCTCTCTATCTGTTCACTGTTCAACAACATTTCCTTTTATAACTCAAACCCAAATCAACTTCAAACGCTATTGACATCCGGTCGTCACCACAGATAACCGACGCCATCTCCTCCTCCTCGTGTGAAGCTCTTCCTGCGGGAGGTAAGACAGCAGCTGCCGGGACTCGCTCCTCGAGCACTGTCCGCCCTTCCCGCACTTGTGTGGTGTGTGCGGTAAACCAGTGACCCCCAGGACCCGCTGTGTGTGGCGGCCACTGTGTCCCTTCACACACTTCCCGCCTGTGGCAGGTGGTCAGACCGCGGCTCTCAGGCCCAGAGCCGTGTCCGGAGCCACTGCCTCCCGTTCCCGCTGTGTCTGTCAGTCTGTGTGAGGGGCGGTGACGGCTCCGCTGTCCTGTCACAGCCTTTGTGCTTCCTCTCTGCCCAGTTTGGTTGGTAATGGCTCAGTCGGTCGCAGAGAGAGGAAGGGACAAGGCCGTGGGGGGCCTTGATGGAGACGATGAGGATTTTGAGCTCTATCCTCTGGGGATGGGAAGCCATTGGAATCAAGTGAGTGCGGGGCTGATAGGATTGCGGAGTAGGTGCGGTTCTGGATGATCTGCATCGTGTGGAGGTGAAGTCGAGTCTTGATATAATAAATATAGTGTGGGTGACAGTGTGTCTCAGTCTGGTTTTGTCTGAGTCTGTGAATAGTGGAGACTTGCTGACGGGCTGTGGCAGACTGAATAGACTGAGCGGCAGAATTAATGACAGTCTCTGCAAACACAGATTGCCATTCCCGGGTCTGTGTGTAATTCACGCAGTTTGTGAATGTTTCTGCCGCCAGTGATTTGCGAAATGCCTCAGTCGGGCACCTCAGGGGCTGGGAATCGAGTTACACTTCAATGAAACAATGTACAGATTTACAAAGAATATACAGCACAGAAACGGCCAAACCAGTCTGTGCCGGTGTTTATATTCCACATCAGTCCCCACCCATTCCTTACTCCGTCCCATTCCATTCAATCCTCCTCTACCTCATGGGAAGGTCTCCTGACTGTGCTTAAAGGGAGCGTCACAAACACGTGTGCCCATCCTGTGTGTTGTTGACCTGCCTGCGCCCCCCATAAAGGGGAGGGGGTGAGGATAGGTTTAGGAGGTCCGACTTCCTCTTGAAAACAGTAGAGTCCTATAGCTCAGTGGTGAGAGCACTCGCCTCACAAGTGAGAGGTTCCTGGGTGGGGCGAAACCTTAGACAAGTTTCCTTACACCACACACCTCTCTTTGCCAAGTGGTAAGTAGGAACCTGGTTGATAATTGGATGTTGGATCGCTTTCTGGGGGTAATAATCTCTCTCCAAAATTAATTTGGTCACTCAATTCACGACTGTTTGTGGGTCACTGCTGTGCACACTTCACTGCAGCGTTTCGCCCACAGAACACACAGTCACTACACATTACAGTATGTTCTCTGAAGCATTTTGAGATGTCTCAGCAAACCCCAAACATGGAGCAGCCGGTGAGGCTGGAGAGGGAAGCAACAACTGGATCAGAAACAACACTGGAGCAGAGAGTAATGAGGGTCAGAGGAGGAGGTGAGCATTCGGTGTCTCAGCGCTGTGTTATCTGTGTGGTCTCTGTACATAAGGGGGAGAGGGAGTTAAGACATCTCAGGGTGTGGGTCAGGGGCTGACTGTGAGGGATGTGTGTATCTGAGGGTAGGGGTGGTGAAGACTGTGTATAATGATTGGCCATAAAATAATAAATAAAATAATATGGTTTATTGTAAATTGTGACAGTATTTTGCAAGTGAATGACAATATATTGGATATTAATATCCACTTCAACAGACACAGACGTGACCTCGGCTTAAAGGTTAAAGATCTCACTTCTTGGGCGATTGTTACAGTGATTGAGAGAGAAA